AAGATGAACTGCCCAATATGCTACTGGAAATCAGTGGAGAAATAACTCCAGAAAGAATGAAGAGACAGAACCAAAGCAAAAACAACACCCAATTGTGGATGTGACTGGTGATGGAAGTAAAGTCTGATGCTGTAAAGAACAATACTGCATAGGAACCTGGAACGTTAGGTCCATGCATCGAGGTAGATTGGAAGTGGTCAAACAGGAGACAGTGAGTGAATATCGACAGGAATCAGTGAACTAAAATGGATTGGAATGGGTGAATTTAACTCAGATGACCATTATATCTACTACTGTGGGCAAGAATTCCTTAGAAGAAGTGGAGTAGCCCTCATAGGCAACAAAAGAGTCCAAAATGCAGTACTTGGATGCAATCTCAAAAATGACAAAATGATCTCTGTTCATTTCCAAGGCAAACCATTCAATATCATGGTAATCCAAGTCTATGCCCCAACCAGTAATGCTGAAGATGCTGAAGTTGAATGGTTCTATGAAGATCTACAAGACCTTCTAGAACCAACACCCCAAAAAATGTCATTTTCATGTTAGGGGACTGGAATGCAAAAGTAGGAAGTCAAGAGATACCTGGAGTAACAGGCAAATTTGGCCTTAGAGTACAAAATGAAGCAGGGCAAAGACAGTTTTGCTAAGAGAACACACTGGTCATAGCAAACACCTTCTTCCAACAACACAAGAGAAGACTCTACACATGGACATCACCAGATGGTTGGACATTACCAAAGTCAGATTGATATATTCTCTGCAGCTGAAGATGGAGAAAGCTGTATATAGTCAGCAAAAACAACACTGGGAGTTTACTGTGGCTCAGATCATGATCTCCTTATTGCCAAATTCAGACTTAAATTGAAGAAAGTAGGGAAAACCACTAGACCATTCAGGTATGACCTAAATCAAATCCCTTACGATTATACAATGGAAATGACAAATAGATTGACCGGATTAGATCTGATAGAGTGCCTCAAGAACTATGGATGGAAGTTTGTGACATTGTACAGGAGACAGGGATGAAGAGCATCCCCAAAAGAAAGAAACACAAAAAGGCAAAATGGTTGTCTGAGGAGGCCTTACAAATAGCTGAGAAAAGGAGTGAAGCTAAAGGCTTCACTTTAGGAGGAGAAAAGGAAAGATATACCCATTTGAATGCAGAGTTCCTAAGAATATCAAGGAGAGATAAGAAAGCCTTCCTCAGTAATCAATGCAAAGAAGTAGAGGAAAACAATAGGATAGGCAAGACTAAAGATCTCTTCAAGAAAATTAGAGATACCAAGAAATATTTCATGCAAATATGGGCTCAATAAAGGACAGAAATGGTATGGACCTAACAGAAGCACAAGATATTAAGAAGAGGTGGCAACAATACACAGAAGAACTGTACAAAAAAGATCTTCATGACCCAGATAACCACAATGGTGTGATCACTCAGCTAGAGCCAGACATCCTGGGATGCAAAGTCAATTGGGCCTTAGGAAATATCACTATGAACAAAGCTAGTGGAGGTGATGGAATTCCAGTTGAGCTAGTTCAAATCCTAAAAGATGATGCTGCGAAAGTGCTGCNGAAGGGTTCTTTACCACTAGCACCACCTGGGAAGCCACAGAATACTTATTAAGGCATATCTTTAATTGCATTGTGTCTAGTAGTCAATCAATGAGCATTATCTTAGCATCCACAGGTAGCATATTAGCAAAGGAGGACCTGGAAGATTGGACATGGTTGTTGCCATAATGAACACACAGTGGGGGTTTGTCATAATAAACATCCAATGGAAACACATGCCCGTGAGAAAACAATTACAAAGTAGGCAGAACATTTAGTATTAAAACAGGAGGGTTGATGTTAGTAAGGAAAAACTTCCAAATAGCATTATTGCTAGAGAGTAAATAAATATTAATTCATTTAAATATGACAGGAAAGGAAATCAGTCCTGAATATTCATTGGAAGGACTGATGCTGAAGCTGAAACCCCAATACTTTGGCCACCTGATGTGAAGAACTGACTCATTGGAAAAACCCGGATGAGTGGGAGGGATTGGGGGCAGGGTGAGAAGGGGGCAGCCTAGGATGAGATGGCTGGATGGCATCACCAACTCGATGGACGTGAGTTTGAGTAAGCCCAGGGAGTTGGTGATGGACAGGGAGGCCTGACATGCTGCAGTCCATGGGGTTGCAAAAAGTCAGACACGACTGAGCGTCTGAACTGAACAGATCTCTTCTATTGTAGCCATTCTAATGAGAGTGTAGTAATATCTCATCATTTTAATTTGCACTTTCCTGGTGACTAATGGATTTGAGTACCTTTTTATACATTTATTAGCCATTTGTATATCTTCCCTTGTGAAGTACCTATTTAAACCCTTTGCCTATTTGCCTACTGTGTTTTCTTGACTTTCCTTATTGATTTGTAGGGTTCTTTATATATTCTTTGTTATATGTTGGATAAATGTATTGTGAATATCTTTTTCCTCTCTGTGACTTGCCATTTTATTCTCTTAGTGGTGTCTTTCAGTGAATAAAATTTCTTAATTTTAGTGTAGTACAAATCATCATTCTTTTAGTATTTTAGTAATTTTCATGTGTTATTTAAACAATCATGCCTACCCCAGTGGCCATGAATATATTCCCCTAAGTTCTCTTCTAAACGCTTATTGTTCTATCTATCGCATTTAGATCTGTAATCCATATGGAATTATTTTTGTGTATAGTATAAAATATAGGAGACATTGTTTTCCTCATTGTGAATACCCAGTTGATCCACCATTATTGTTGGCTAGCCCATCCTTTTCTCACTGTCAAAATGGCAGTTTTCTTAAATCAGATCACAAGATACGCCTGTTCAGAATCCTTCAGTGGCTTAGGACTAAGTACACACCTCTCACACAGCTCCTTGCCGGCATCTGCTTCCTTCTGGGCTGCAAGCCCCGGTCGTCTTTTTCTGCCTGTCCTTGGCGGACATGCTGGCCTCCTTGCTGTTCCTCAGGCTGCCAAGCTCACTGCTGTCTCAGGCCCTTACAGGTGGCGTCCTTCTGCCTAAAGCACTCTTTCTTCATGTCTTAGCCTGAATCACTCCTCATTTCACTCAAGTCTCTGCTCAAATGGGGATGTTCTTTCCTTAAACAGAACCACTCACTACTCCATATAACATTAAGAATGGGAAAAAAGGTATAAGCTTCCATTATAAGTACAAGAGACGTAATATATAACATTAATTAACACTGCTGTATGCTATATATGAAAATTGCTGAGAGAGTAAGTCCTAAGAGTTCTTATCACATGGGAAAAATTTTTTTTCTATTTCTTTAATAAGAATTATAAGATGATTGATGTTCACTAAATCTATGGCATAATACCTTAGAACTCAAGTCCTAAATGTAACATATATGATAATTCATGGTTTTCCCTGTTTTGTCACATTAGCCCCAAATAATTTGAACCTGATTTATTTCATAATTTGATGAATTGTGATGGAACATCAGCTTTTGTACTTTAAGAAAAAAAAGGGGGGTAGTGTGCAGCTTATAAACTCCTAACTGTTTTACATGGGAACAATGCATAGATCAAGTTCAAATGAATTTTATCTATGGCTAAAGAACTTAGAATCTTTTCAGAGCTTCAGAGACTTTATTTTTCTCTTCTAACAGTAATACTGTGTTTCAAGGTATTTTTTCCTAAACATTCTATAATATAAGCTTAATGATTCTCACTGACCTGCTTTCTCTCACTGGGGCTATTTCAGGGGTACAGGGTATATAATGGGCTTCCCTTGTGGCTCAGTTGGTAAAGAATCTGCCTGCAATGCAGAAGACCTGGGTTCAATCCCTGGGTTGGGAAGATTCCCCCGGAGAAGGGAATGGCTACCCACTCTAGTATTCTGAACTGGAGAATTCCATGGATTGTATAGTCCATGGGGTCGCAAAGAGTCGGATATGACTGAGCAACTTTCACTTCACCTCATTTCAATGTGTATATAACATTTGGTTTTGTGGCAAGAGTTAGATCTGTCTTTCATTTGTTTACTTCTTGATCAAAGGCATTTATTTCCACTATTGATTCCATTTGTTTTCCTTTTCTTAAAGTTTAAGGTAATATCTGAAACATATGATTCTTTTATTAATTGTAGGATGTCATAACAGAGCACAAAGTGGGTTTTAAGCTTACCTTATCTAGCTATAAAAGACATTACTGGTCAGTTAACAAAACTGGAAAACATTTGGTTGGTTAAAGTACTGTCACTGATAAATTTTGTGAAGTTGATTGCCGTGTTATTGGTATGTAGAAGAATAGCTTTATTCTTAGAAATATGCACTTAAGTATTTAGGAATACTTAGGTGCCATGGTGATGAATTTACTTACCCCAAAATGGCTTAAGAAAAAAATTGTGAGTGTGTGTGTGTGCATGCACATGCGTGCACATGCATGCTTGTGTACAGAAAAAGAGTGAGCGCACAAGCAAATTATAAACCAAATGGGGCAAAATAGTAACAACAGGTGGATCTGGTAAAAAGTATATTAATGTTCATTATACTGTTAATATAACTGTTCTGCAACTGTGAAATTATCTCCGCATGAACAGTTGAAAAAAATCATCTTCTCCAGCCCTCTCGGGAGAAGCATGCAGTGCTTATGACACAGAGATTAAGTTACTTTCTCAGTCAGCCTGAGAGACACAGAACTGACCCTCAGTCCTGTGTCTCTGTTGTACTGAGCTGCCTTCTTTTAATAAATAGTCATTGAGTTCTAACCAAATACAGGGGCCACTGATCCTGCTGTGTGGCTACATAGGACACAGCCACACCTGCATATTAGTGACGTGGCTTTGGGTTTCTTTTTAAAATATTTTTGCCATTTCCTGGTCTATCGTGCCACCTCTGGCCTCTCTGTTACCTGGACGTCTTGTTATTAGACACCCCGCCCGTTGTAATGAGACATGCCTATGTTTGCATTTTCACACACAGTGGTTTTGTTCTTCTGTTTCTTAATAGCTACCGGTTCTTGGGATACATTTCTCATGCTGTGGAGTTTCAGGCCACAAGCTAGAGCTTTCAGATACGTGGGTCACAAGGACGTTGTCACCAGCGTGCAGTTTTCTCCACTTGGAAACTTACTGGCATCAGCTTCACGAGACAGGACCATTAGACTCTGGATCCCTGATAAGTAAGAGAAGAAGACCTTCTTTGCTGTGGGTTTAGAAATGAAAGGGTAACTGGGGCTGAGCGGTGCACTGTGCCCCTTGGATTGCCTAACCCCCCAGTTACCTGTACATCTTTAGTCTAAGTCACAGACGAGGCGTACTGCCTGGTAAAAGTATTTCATACCATTTTTCCCTCATCTTGAACTCATAATTGTGTCTTCTACTTGAAAACTATTTCTAGCCACGGAAATATGCGTAATAATGTCTTAAGTGTTTTTGTGGGAGAGGCGGTTTGGGAGGGTGATGGGTATCAATCCCTTTATAAATCTCATGTAAGCTTTGCATCATCTCTCCAGAGAGATACACATCGGGCTGCCTAACCAAGATTTTACAGCTTATGGTGACTCAGATGATAAAGAGTCTGCCTGCAATACAGGAGATCCGGGTTCAATCCCTGGGTCGGGAAGATCCCCTGGAGAAGGGAATGGCTACCCACTCCAGTATCCTTGCCTGGAGAATCCCATGGACTGAGGAGCCTAGTGGGCTGCAGTCCACAGGGTTGTAAAGAGTCTGACATGACTCTTTACAATGAACACTTTCAGAGCAATGAACATGTTCAGTTTCAACCTACTACCTTTTCAAACCCTAGCTGAAAGTCCATCTATTTTAAGCAGTTATTGAGCTTTGATTATTTTAAAAGTTTTTAAACTCTTAAATTATATAGATTTCAAACATATATGAAAATAGAGTAGATAGCATGACAACTCCCCACCATAACCATCCACTGCATTCAGTAATTCTTCAATGTTCTTATCAGTCTTGTTTCATCTGTCCACCCCCTTTTTTTCTGGAATATGTACATATCAGATCATTTCTCTTTAGATAATAAGAAATGTTTTCCATCACTCTGTAGGGGCGGGATTTGATCTGTGGTTCGTGCCTGAATGGGCTCAGGCACTCCCAAATAAATGAAGGTTCCTGAAGCATTTCCCTGCCAGTGGGCACTTTTTTCCCTGCCACGGCCCAAAGGAAACTCCAGACTGAGAAATCTGAACATTGTCTCAAGGCAGCAAATGCTACTGAGGAGAAGTGGCGTGTTGATGTGTTCTGATACTGCAGATAGCAGTGTAAGAGGGAGCTGCAAGGAAGAGAGACTGGCTCAGGGTCTAAAAGGGAAAACATTTTTAAAAGCCTTGACTGAGAATTTAGGACTAGTGGTTTGCTGTTTTTCAGCACAGCCTCCGACTCCCATTGCTACTTTGGGGCAAGCTCAGTGAGTAAACCACTGGGTAAATGAGCTAAAAGCACACGGAATCATTAATTTTCACTGCCTGATCTAAGCACTACGATTAGGCTTGTGTAGATGTGTCTAGTTCCTCTTCCTAAATCATATCTCAGCAGGCCAGGGCAACAGTGGGTCACGGCGATGAGAAGGAAACTGATGAACCAGTTATCTGTTGCTGCATAACAGTCCCCAAACTTAGTAGCTTAAGACAGTAACTATCAATTCTCCCAGTTTGGGGGATGTCTGGACGATTTTCCCACTGCCCCGTTAATGTGGGCCGTTAGGCAGCTGCATTGCGCTGGCAGCTGGGCTGGCAGGTCCAGTGCCTCCGTCGGAGGCCGGTGGCCTCGGTGTTGGCTGTAGGCTGGGCACCTGTGTCCTCCACATGCCCTTTCTGCAGCAGCATGAAAGGGCGTCCTTACAGCCTGGCAGCTGTAGGGTCATCAGAGCCGAAGCTGCTAGACTGCTTCGAGGCTGGGCCTGGAACCTGCATAGTGTACCTTCTGCCGCATCCTGTTGGCCACAGTCAGTCACAACAGTAGCCTGACTATGACTCGAGATTTGAAGGAGGAGAAATTGGTGGATTCTGCCACCGGTGGGGAAGAGTGGTGTGTGTGCGCGGGAGAGAGCGGAGCTGTGGGCCGCCAGGTGAGCAGACCGGCCCCGCAGCTGGTGGTTGGAAGGCTGAGAAGGAATAGCAGGAGCGAGCTGGGAGGCGGGTCTGGCTGGCGGTGGTCACGGTGGGCGGTCAAGAGAATTCGGGCAGAAAGGACAGGTACCTGTGTGGGAGGTGGAAAGACTCTGTTAAGGCAGGTGAGGAGCTAGAAACCAGCTAAGCACCAGCACAACAAACACAGACACTCTTATCTCGGGTTCTCACAATACTTCCTGTTGGGACCGGATCTGGATCCATCAGCTGGGCCTGCCTGTTGCCAAGAGGAGGAGCTATTACAAAGAAGGCAGACAGGATAGACTTCCTGAAGTGTGGCGGGCCCAATAAAGATCAAGGCAGATTCTGATGGTACCGACTGTCCTTGGCTTCCTGGTCACATTAGATGCCATCTCCTCTTTGTTTACTCTGGGCCTTATGCTGAGAACCAGCCCATGCTGTCCTCCTGACTTCTGCTCAGAACATTCCCTTGAAACCTCACTGGACTAGTCCCTGAATTCTCCCTCCTATGTTATTTTAATTATTCGTGGTGAAATACCACATGTCAGGTGATGGAGATCTATGACAGAGTCGCCTCTGCTTGCTACAGACCACTGGAAGGGAAAACTAGGATGGATCTAAGAACCATTTAAGTATCGACTCTTCCCAGCAGAATTCAGCAAAGCATACTGAGCTCTTTTTACATGCCTGATGTTGTGCTCGATCCTGGTCTTTTAGCGATAAGTAAGTCATGATTCCTGTCCTCAGAAAAATTACTGCCTAATAGGAGAGAAGCAGGTCTATTTTATAACAAACATTACTGTATAATATGATAAGCAAAATAGACATGGCAGATAGGGAACAAGTAAGCCTATCGGGGTTGGTGAAAGGGGGGTGGTTAAGAGGAAGCAGTCAGGCTAAGAAAGCAGCTCGTACAAAGCCAGAGGATTGTTTGAGGGAGTGTGGCTCTCTTAACGGTACAAAGGTCAGTGCAGTTGCAGGAGGTCTTGCCAAAGAGCTTGGGCATTGTGCTTTTTCTTGGAGAGCAGCCTATGACACATTTACACTGGGATTTATATGCCTAGAATCACACATTTAGCAAGTCTATAAACACAGTATGTAGGTGACTGGAGGGGGATAAAAGATAAGAGCGGGGAGACCAGTTAAGAGGCTTTTGCAGTAATCTAGGTGAAGGATACAGAGGGTGTGTATATCCACCTTAATACGAGCACAGCTGGGATGCAAAGAAGAGAAGGGATTCAGAAGATTTTTAGGAGGTGATGGCTGTCTGATTGTCACTAAATAGGTCTGCTGACCCCTCGGATACTGGGGAAGAGGAGCTGGGTGTAACTTCTAGGCTTCTGCCAGTTCTGCTGCCTAATCTTTTTAACACACTTGTGGCAGTTTTTCCCATAAGGCATCACCTGTATAAATATGACTTTCTGAATGGAAAAAATTGCTAAGTCTAAATGTGGTATAAAGTGAAAGTACCTTGGGAAAGTGGAAACGCTGACACAAGGTAGCATTTCTTGAATGTCACTGTTTATAACTCCAGTTCCATCTACTAGCCTGCCCCGAATCATTTCAATACTTTTCCTGCTGCTGCTTCTTAAATGCCACACATTATTTTCATCATTTTTTTTTCTTCCCTATTTTCTTTTCTGTACCCTAGCCAAGAAAAATAAAGAAGGTATCTGAAATTTCAAGGTGTTGAGAATCGAAGTTCGTTATTACCATTTGTCTTTTGTTTTGCTTGTGAATGTAAGATTGGGCTCAGAGGTGAGCAAGGTCTTAGGTACACCCCAGGGGTCTCAGTTCCCATTGCTGGTGGGTCAAAACAGGAGAGTCAAATCACCCAGGGACATTCTTTGTCAAGGCATATGACACAGAGGACATTTCCTGCTTCCCAACCCAGATTGCCAGCCCACACAACTTCCATGTGAAAGTTTGAAAATACTGCCTTGAGCTCTTTATTTAACGAATCTTAGCTTTGCTAGGTTGCAGTTTATTTAAATTGTATATTGCGGCCTCTAGAGGAACAACAGGAACTTAAAATACATGGTAGAGATTTGTTCAAAATATTATTTCCTAGCTTCCCGTTAAAACAAAATCAGCAAATGAATTTCCGGGTCATGACCACCAGGGTCTCTGTCTTGTTAAGTATCAGCTGTGACTTCAGTGAACAAAACCGGCTTAAACAGTTCTGATGCAGAGTGCAGTACAAAACAGCCTTTTACACTTTTTGTCAGTTTTTATGAGTTAAACTATGGTATATGTTTCAAAGTCTGTATACTGATGAGATCTTGATTATAATTAAATCACATGTTATAAATATTAAACTATTTATTTCCAGGAGAGGGAAATCCTCTGAATTTAAAGCTCACACAGCCCCAGTTCGAAGCGTGGACTTTTCAGCTGATGGCCAGTTTCTTGCTACAGCTTCTGAAGACAAATCTATCAAAGTATGGAACATGTATCGCCAGCGCTTCTTATATTCCTTGTACCGACACACACACTGGGTTCGCTGTGCCAAGTAAGTGCAGGGTTTCACTGTAAGGTTTCCATATTTTTTTTTACTGCCGTAGTCTGTATTTTACCCCCAAATCCAAGAAAAGGGGATTGAGGGCAGATTCACTCATTCATTTATTTATTTATTCATCAAATGTTTATTGTGTGCCAGAAATAATAATAAACAAAATGGTCAAAAACTGCCACTCTCACGAAGCTTATATTCTAGGCAGGGGAGACAGAGAATAAGCAAATAGGAAACTCGATATGGTGGGTCAGATGGTGGTAAGTGCTATGGAGAAAAACAGAGCTGCTGGTTTAAACAGGGTGTTCAGCGACTGCTCCCAGAGAGGGTGACCTTTGGGCAGAGGCCGAGGGGAGGGCAGGGAGTGAGGGTTGAAGATGTTTGGGAAAGGAATGTCCTGCATAGAAGAAACAAGGGTGAAAGCCCTCGGGCGGGAGTGGGTGGCCACGTGAGGAAGAGCAGGAAGGCAGGGGTGGTGGAGAGTGTGGGAGCGTGGAGGACTAGCCCTGATGGACAGGTAGAGTAGATGAGCCACTGGAGCCTGTTCCTCTCTCTGACTTACAGTTCAGTGGGATCTCCCTGACCACCATGTGGAGAGTAGACCATCACAAGTCAGGACAGAGCTGGGAAGCATGGGCTGTTGCACTTGTTCTCATCTCGGTTTGGTCCACGGTAGTGGCGTGGTTGGATTTTAGATCATTTATCCAGTTGACCCTTGAATAACGTGGGTTTGAGCTGCAGGGGTGGTTGGTTAAATCCACAGATGCAGAACTGTGAATATGGAGGAACCTTGGGTTCCTAGGGTAAACTAAATTCCACATGGATTTTTCACTGTGCAGAGGGTTGGTCCCCCTAACGACCATATTGTTCAAGGGTCTACTGTAGTTAAGTTACAACCAAAAGTACTTGCTGTCTTATTGGATGGGATGAGAAAAAGAGGAACGAAGAATGACTCCATAACCTTTGGCAACAGTCTATTGGGACAAGTGCTATTATAAGTGTTGTTAGCATCTGCTAACAGCCAGGGAGCCCTCTATTTCTAAGACACGCTGCTACAGAACTTAAAATATGTATCTCCTTTCCTTATCGAAATTGGCCTGGGAGGGAAGCACTTTTGCTTTAAATCCCTTATTTAAAGTGTGATCCAAGTTCTTTTTTGTTGATGGATCTGTCCTACTGGCCTGACTTTGCATTTAGAGGGCTGGCATGAGACAGTCCAAGTCTTATTTGAACTCATACTGCTGGGGGACACCCTGTGCTAAACACTGGTTTGAGAACGAAGCTGATTCTTTCAGAGGAGAGTGGAGCTGTGAGAGGAAGCCGGAAATTGCTGTCTAGTTACATGGCGTGGTTTCGGGATAAAGCCATACCTGAAATTATTAGTAAGGGAAGGGGAGGAGAGGAGGAGGGAGACAGAGATATGAGCCTTAAAACATTTCCTTTCACTCTTTTTTTAAAAGGCACTTTCCATAGGAAGTGATAGTGAAGCAGAGTTTGGAAAAGCGGGAGTGGTCCTTGCATACCGTCATGTGCACTCATAATATCTGTTGTATCTCCAGCCCCAACACTGCCTTCATTTTCAGCATCATTATCCCTTATGGAGACTTTTGCAGTAAACCTCCAACATTTATTGAGGCTTTGTTCGTTTTCTCACACTTATGTTCTCTTTGTGCTTCAATTTGCATTGTTTCTATTGGCCTATTTTCAAGTTCAGTGGTACTTTTTCCTTGCCATGTCCAGTGTACTACAAACTTATCCATTTCTCTGAGATTTTCCATTTGTGTGCTCATTATGCTCATTGTTTCCATTAAATTCTTGAACATATTCATAATAGTTCTGAAGTCCTTGTCTGTTAATTCCAATATTTATGTCATATCCGAGTCAAAATTTTTGCTTGTTTATATTTTTAAAATTTTTTGTTGTATGCTCAAACATGGCTAAATGTTTGAGAGTATGAGTTACTCTATCATCTTCTAAAGTGTTGAGTTTTGTTTTGGTAAGCTGTTACATTTCTGTTGGCCTAGCTAGATTGTGTTGGATCTAGACTTTTTAGGGTGGATCTAGAGTGGCTTCACTCTTGTTTTTTTCCAATCCTTCTTGTCCTGAGCCTTATCAGGTTTGTATTTGATCAAAGACTCAAGACTTGGGTAGATTTGGAGGTATTTCTGCTCTTCACAGGTCCTTTTATCAATCCTTTCCTCTAAATTCCAGCCCTTCAGCAGTTCTGAATTCTAATTGCTGTTTATCTGCCCAGTGAGACTGCATCTGCTTCCATGGGCTCTGTGTCCTTAAGCCATGCCTGAGAAATGCTCCCAGGTAGAAATTTGGGATGCATTTGGTGCCTATCTCATTTGTTTTCTAGCTCTCAAGTTTCACAACCCTGTTCTGTCCCTCACCAGTGCCTAAAAACAATAGCTTCGTATATTTTGCTGAGTTGTATGATTTTTTATAGTAGGGGAGTAGGTCATTACTACCCTTATTCAGAATGGGAAGCTTTGCCAAAGGAATTTAGTGGAAACTTACAAGCTAATTTAAAAATTCAGGTGTATGAATTAAATGTCCAAGAATAACCAAGAAAAGAATGACCAGAAAAAATTGAAAGAAGCTTGTGTAACCGCTCCTAGAACACAGTATAAACCTGTAGAAATTAAAATAAGACAGTCATGGTACCAGATTAGGAAAATGGGTCATAGAACGTTCAGGTGCAGATCCAATCAGTGGTGAAGTAGATGAATAGTTGTTAAAATATTAAGATGATATTAAGTAGTTATTTAATATATTAAGATGTATGTATGTAGTTCAGATAATTAGATTTGGAAAAATTTAAAGTTAGATCTGTATTGCACACCACACATTTACAAAAATTACAGATGAATTAGCTTGACATTAGAAATAGTCTAAGTGATACTGCTTTTCCTTCCAATGCATTGACAATGTATTTAAATGAATGTAGAGGGTCAACAGAGCAGTTATTTCTCCTTTAACTATTTGAATTTTAAGTGTGCCGTGGACTTAAGTAATTAAAATTCAGTGTCTTGTTTCTGGGCCCAGTTCTGACTATGAGTTTGTCCCTGGAGCCCAGACTCACTCCATATGGCATAGACGCAGTGCCCATTAGTGTAAGAACAGCTGCTGTGTTTTCTAGGCTAACTATTGTTTCAGTCATACATCTTGATTCACAGAGATTTTTTTTTAAGATATGTTTTCTATTGGGAGATATATTCATGCTTTAAAAATATAAATTAGTATAGTCTTTTTAGAAATCCATTTGAAAATATATCAGGAATCCTTGTTACAGTGAGTTCACAACTGGAAATCTATCCTAAATAGATTTATTCAAATTTCTTATTCAAAGAAAAAATCTGTATTTAAAGATAATGTTTTCAGTATAATTTATAATGATGAGAACTTGGAAATAATCAAGTTCTCCAAGTAGAGAAAGCTGGTTAAATAAACTTAAATGATTATATAGCTATTAAAAGAAGATATGTAAGTAGTGACTTGAAAATATGTTTGTGTTTGGGGTAAGAGGGGCAATATTCAGAACTCATGATTATAATATAAAAGATCTATACATGAACAAAAGATAAAGTTCTTGCATAGACACAATATTATATGATTTTGTTTGAGTGATGGTGCTATGGGCTGTTTTTACTTACTATATTTCCCAGCTTTTTTAAACATGCAATTTGTCTTTAATGAGTAGTGAAGAAAACATGTATTGTTAGAAATAGCTACATATGCAAATGAGAAATACTTATTTTTAGTGGCAGAAGAATTTTTCTAAGAGTTCAATATTACAAAATAATGTGTGCTGTGGGGTAACTTGTGTTTTTTTATGGTATCTTCAGTCAAGTAGAGGCCAACAAAACAACTTTTCCAGCATTGTTTCTCTAGCATTAATTTTCATGGGGAAAATCTGACCTTAATTTTCAGTTTTTGGTTGTGTTACAAGTGATCTTTGATCCTCTGAATTGCAAAGACTTTTCTGTATTTGGGTAAACTATATATAGTATAAAATTTACCACTTAACCAATTTTCAGGTGTATAGTTCAGAGGCATTAAGTACGTTCATGTTGTGCAAATAGTTACAAAATTTTTACACATCAGCTTTCACTGACTGTGTGTATGCGTGCTCAGTTGCTCAGTCGTGTCATTGACCATAATCTGAAGTTAGTCCCAATCCCACTGAAAAGTTTTTTAATGCTCTACCTATTTACTGAAAGGCATACTCAGTACTAGGGGCTTCCCTTGTGGCTCAGCTGGTAAAGAATCCGCCTGCAATGTGGGAGACCTGGGTTCAATCCCTGGGTTGGGAAGATCCCCTGGAGAAGGGAAAGGCTACCCATTCCAGTATTCTGGCCTGGAGAATTCCATGGACTGTGTAGTCCATGGGGTTGCAAAGAGTTGGACATGACTGAGCAACTTTCACTTTCATACTCAGTACTGTGTACTGTGTCTGGGGATACAGCAGTGAATAGGACAGATGTAGTCTCTCTCCTCCCAAGGTTTACATTCTGTTAGGGAAGCAAATGGAATAGCTGGCTGTGTGGGGAGCAAACCTGCTGGGGGAGGATCCTGAGCAGAGACTTGAAGGATTTAAATTGATTTAAATCCTCTTAGGTATTTAAAGGGCTTCCTTGGTGGCTCAGATGATAAAGAATCTGCCTGCAATGTGGGAGACCTGGGTTCGATCCCTGGGTTGGGAAGATCCCCTGGAGAAGGGAACGGTTACCCACTCAAGTATGCTGGCCTGGAGAATCCCATGGACTGTATAGTCCATGGGGTCACAAAGAGTCAGTATTTGAAACAAGATAAAGAGGAGGGAGCAGTGTTTGAAGCAAAGCGAACGGCATATGAGGGACCACCTGGGGCAGGAACAGAGAGAAGAGGGGTGCGGCACCAGGAGTGTAACGTGATGATGAAGAGACAGGAGGGCAGATCTCGAGGCAGTTTTTCCCGTGAAAAATGTGAAACCACCAAAGGGTTTTAATTAAAAA